CCAAGCGGAGATGCAGAGATTGACGGTTCAACTCTGGACTCCCCTTTGCAAAGCAATTCAGGAAAAATCTTACACTGTCTTTGTTTACATTTTTTATAGGTTAAGGTTGGGGAACCTTAACAACCCTAACAGAAATATTTTTGTAAAATGTGTTATTGTATTGTATTTTATCATTATTTATTATATTTTATCACTATATATATATTTAAAAAAACTGAAAATGTTAGAACTGTGAATTTACTGTCATGTTTATATTACTGTTTTTATATATATATATATATTTTTTACTATTTTTCAAGGCTGCACTTTAAAAAAATGAAATTGTTCAGAGAGCTTTTCTAAACTAAATTTCTTTTTTTTTTTTTACACTTGTTTAAACAAAATGACAAATAGATCTGTCTAAGTCTATAATATGGCATGTTGTTGGTGAGGTTTTTAAAATGGAGCACAGATGGCTGTTCATGACCCAAGAGCCAGCAGGACAAAAACATTACAGACACATAAGAACACAGAAACGTAACCATCGGTCCTCCATACCCTGACCATCTCCTGATACCGATAAGGTATGATGGTTAATGTGTTTGTTTATGTGGAGTAAATGATCAGTTATTGAATATACTGTAGTATAAGGCCATGTCAGTGATCATTTAAAAAGTGAATCATGCCTGCAGACAAAAAGTAAAATGTCTTAATAAAGAATGAGAAGTTATATAGGAGGTTTAATGGAGAAAGCAAGTGAGTTTCTGCTAGTTTTGAGGCTCTCATAGAGCATTTAGTGCAGACAATATTGAACATTTAGTGTATATTGTAACAGTTCATAAATATATTATATGACAAACTTCACATAAACAAACCTCTGCCAGATCAGACTGTATCCCATTCATTAGTTAACTGCATAACCAAGTCATGTGCATATTTTTATTATAATGTCCTCATTATTAGCATTGTTAGCTCTATGAGTTTATATGCGGCATTGCTTTGCAACATATTGTCCACTACTAATGAGGGATTTTGAAGCTTTATTTAGACAAGTTGCCTTCTTTATCACTCTTTACTAATAAATAAAGCATACCATTAGGATATAAATAATTGTATAATCCTTTGTCTATCCCCAACTAAAAGGTTTAGATTATTCTGTAGAGCCAAAATACTTAGTATGTACATAAGAATACATTTTGCCACATAAAAAAATCTAAAAACCACTGCATGTAAATGTTTTTCCTTGTCTTGGTCCTCTGCAGTTCACTTTATTTAGTATTTGTTGTAGGGAAAACTGGGCTTTTCTAAAACTTTTGCCCATTATTTAATATCTAATTGAGGAAAAAATATTCTGTCTGATTTGATCCCTTTTTGCTTGTACTTTTAGCGATTCTTTGTGTGGATGTACAGTGAGGAAAATTAGTATTTGAACACCCTGCTAATTTGAAAGTTCCCCCACTTAGAAATGTTGTGACCTCTTTGCAGCTATATCAGACTCTCATTGTGGACATGCAACTACAATGAAAAATTCAGACTCCTCCGTGATTTCTAAGTAGAAAAACCTGCAAAATAGCAGCGTGTTCCAATACTTACTTTCCTAACTGTAATATTAACCAACATCCACCTTCCATAAAAGCTCAATCCGCTCTGGGTGATCATTGTATTATTCAGAGAATGTTATTCAGCTGCATCTTATTTTATTCTTCTGTTAAAACTGAGGCCAAGCAAGCTGTTATGTAGATGTTCAGAGGCATCTTCTGTGAAAAAGAATAACAATTTATGGTGTTAATATGGTGGTGATGGAAGGAGAAGGGCTGCAAAGTGTCGTCTTAAGAGCAAAACATAAACCAGGGTCGTGTTTTGAATTTGTCTTAATGGGGAAATAATTCGACTTCAAATGTGAAGAAAGGTCTGCAATAAATTTAGCGATACTAATCCACTTTAAGAATGAAAACACTGAATGAAGGAAAACTAGATAATAATGAAATGAATCTCGCATCAAGGGACAGTTTGGAGCTTTTCTGCTTTCTAGGCAATTACTGTAAAAGCACTAGTTAGGTCGTCATTAGACCCTTTAAAGGTTCATATCTGCATCCCCTCTGCAGCAGTCTACCAAAAATCTCTCTTTTTTTGGATAACAAATAATCAATACTGATCAGTCTGCTGCCTATTTGTCACCAAACGTTTTTTTTACTCTCAAGACCCCTCTACCTGAGCCCTCAAACATCTTTTCCTTTCTCTAAAACCTCAGCATGTTTCCCACACCCACAGACACTCTTCAGTCACTTTCATGAGGCCCATTTACATGTTTTTCTTTTCTGCTAGAATTTGCTTAGTTAAATATGTAGCACATTTAATAGGTTTAGTTTCATTTTCTTTTTTTTTTTTACCCTTGCCCACTCTTCAGATCAGATCCCAGTCAACGTCGTTTGTAAATGTATGTACTCTAACCATCCAGGGCCTCCCTTTGAAAAGACTAAATTGAATTCCTTTGATACAACCCCAGAACCGTGTGCAGGCAGCATAGATGAAGACTCGTCAGAAGTTGACGCTCATTATATTTGAAATGTTGAAAGTCAGCCTAGGATGGTGCCCTCTCTCTCTTTCACTTGGATAAAATAACACTTTCTTCTTTTTTTGCATCTAAGTAGGGACCCATGATGTATTGTTTTACTTTGGGTAATCCAAATTTAAGCTCTGTGTAGTTAATCTTATGAGTCTGTGGGGAAGGAGGGAAGTCAGCTGTTTAATTTATTAATTAAATTCTTAGGCTGGGGCTGTAGCTTGTAAGAACCGACTACAACAACTCTGGCTGCAGAATGTTAACCAGCTGCATTCTCTGATAAATTGGGTCAGTGGAAGTCTGTTCTTTACTGATTTATTTGTCTCCAAGAAATGAGAGGCTTTAGTACTAACTGATTTATTTATCATGAGAAATATGTCGTTACTTTTCTTTTTCATTTAAAATCCTAATACAAAATTATGATCAATAAAAGGCAGTGGAAAGACCGTCTAAATCTGCAAAATGGGGTAAAAGGAACTGGCTGCTGCAATATTGTAATCAACCAACCAGTTTGATACAATCACATTTGTTTGCTTATTTACTGGAGCTGAGAGGTTGAACTGTCCCTTTTATTTCCTGTTTTCTGTCATCTTTCATCAAAATCACACCCTCTACATAAATGATATATAGAGGTTGAATTAGCAGGCTTAAAGGTAAAGTAGAGAATGTTCTTTTTCTGGGTGGATCATCAAAATAAGTGGTCCTCTTAATTGTCAATCATTCTGTTGATATGTTTACGTAAGGCCGTCCTATGTGCTCATCTTCATTTTTACTTACCTGTGGCGAGTCTGACATGGTGGAAAAATTGCAAATCTTTTGAAAAGTAAGCTTGTATGAGCGATGCAAACAGCAACTTTTAAAAAGAGCGTGCACGTGGAGAAAGGGGCTCGTGCACGCTCTCACATGCGTCTAATAAGCATTCCCTCTCGGATGCGAATACAGGGTTGTGCATATGCTTTTTTTTGTTTGTAAAGTGGAGAACGCGGGTCTTTTAAAAAATTCATAAAAATCCTCAACCATAACTTTAACACACCCTGGAGAATGCTAATTTATTAGTATGCTAGTTAACTAGTTAGCATTTTAGACCCTATTAGTTCTGTTGTACTGAAAGATGCATAGACAGTTTATGAAATATTGGCTAATAAATACAATTCATAAGCAATATGATCAAATATTTTAGTTAGATTTTTAACTTATTGTGATTTATTTGTGATTTCACAACCGAGCAATATGAAGCCAGTTCTATCCTTTCGTCCTGATTACATTCTTTTTTTTATATGTAATTAAGTGATCAACATGTTTTAAAATCTCCTTAAGCACTTTTTGCTTTATCAATTTTTTTTCAAATAACATGGCTTTCGAATATTATCTGTTTAATAGGTCGTTATTGAAAGTTGTGGCCTATTGGTAGCAACATGTTTGCATCCTGGAAATGCTTTAAAGGTATAGTGGAGGATTTTCCCAAATTTCTGAAAAGACCCGCCCTCTACACTTAAAAAAAAAATAAAAAAATTGCACATGCACAACCCTGTACCCGCTCCTGAGAGGGAACTCCTATTAAACGCCTGTGAGAGCATACACGAGCCCATTTCTCCTCGTGCACGCTCTGTTTAAAAGTAGTTTGCATCGCTCAGACAAGATTACTTTCCAAAAGAAGATTTGCAATTTTTCCACAATGTCAGACTCACCACAGGTAAGTAAAATGGGGACGAACACGTAGGACGATTGACAATTATGAGGACCAATTATTTTGATGATCCACCCAGAAAAACAACATCCTCCACTAAACCTTTAAGATCACATGCTTACATCGCACAGACTGCCTCTCTAGGTCCCTGACCTTTAGTCCTGCAATGCTCCTGCAGCTGATCGCTGCAGTTAAAGTCAATCAGTGTTGTTCCCCTGGTTGCGACACGTTTCTGAGATGTCCAAGACGAGCTAGCCATTGGCCCCTTCTCTAAAATAGTTGTTTTATTTTTGCTGCTTGCTATTCCATCTAGACAGCAATCTAGAACTGAGAAAATCGGTGAGGTAGGAAACTGTTGAAGAAAAGTGGACCTGGTTGAGTTTACAAGTAAAAGACCGCATTCTGTGGAACGCATATTTTAGGCTTTTATATTACAAAATAATCTGTTCATACAGATAATCAACAGCCATAGTAAATACAAGCACTAAATAAAATACATAACTGTAAAACTAAATATTTGAATTCACTGCATTAAAAAAAAGGTATAGTGATTAGATACGAGAAAGCATGCAAGATGCTAATAGTGCTTATAAAATAAACACTTTAACTGTTTGTTGCTCTATTTAAGCCAGGTACATTCCTATAGAGCCATGATGTAATCCAGATACAGCAGAACTGATAGGTTAAATGCAGAAGACAAATTTCAGTAGGATATATAAATACAATAAAATACAAAGGTATTAGGGTATTATTATAAAAGTATTATTATTATTACTATTAGTTGTTGTGTTTTTTTTAAGAATTAAAGTCAGAACAACATATAGTTTTGCTCTTACTTTGAGCCGTACACCTTGAGTTTAACTCAAAACCGTAACTATGACAGTTATGATTCAAGTAGTAACATAAATAATCATTGTGGGGATTTGTACCAATAAAGCCAGTGGAGCTGCCTAATGCAATGTGAAATAATAAACTAGATGCTCCAATGTAGTTAAAGCTTTTTTTCCATGGCGGAACACAAAAAATGAAAAGCATAAGCACCGATATGTAACCTGCATAAACACTGCTACATTTATAACTATGCTTGTGAATCACAGGGACAGCCAAGCAGCATGCAGTTTACATGAACCAAACCATCTGTTTTGAATCAAAAATTTCTTTTCGTTGTGCTTTCGTTCAATTCTTTATGACAAGTTAAGTAAACATAGTGTGTATAAAATGGCTGTGTTTGCACTGAGAAGAGTTCATTTGAATATTGTCTCATATGTCTGAGGAAGGAACCACATGAATTATGGACGCTAGGAAGTATTTTGTAAAACCAGGCAGCACAAAAACATTTAACATTTCTGTTGAACCAGATACTAGGTGACATAAAGAAAAACAATGTGTTTGTTGTTGCCAGTTTTATATCCAAGAAACGGACAAAACTGAGCCAGTGGCATGGTAATATTCATCTTGTCGTTGTAACAAGTTATTTTATTTAACAGGACTGCCGCCTAAAGATTCAGAATCATGTGAGGGGTCTCTAAACAAACAGTTAAGGATAAATAAATGTTGTTTTGCTGTCTTACAGGAATACTAGCTTTAACAGTTGGATACATGGTGACTGTAATTTCATCATCTCAATTTTTGGATGTGAATGACAGTAGTGATATCCCATTATCCCAGTCTGTCCCAAAGGCACAGCCACAGGAGGGACAATGCTCTCATGTGGTTGCAGGCGCTGGGACTGCTGCACGCACAGTGAATGTCTCTAATGCCCTCTGGTTCTACCTTTTCCAAGAAGTAGACCAAATCTTTTTGGAATCACAGAAACAAGCAGCTGGACATCTTCAATCAGCCCTCTAAGTTAAAACTGCCATGGCTCCCAGCTTGGGTAACAGCCACTTCTTGTCCCCAAATCACCTCAGCTTCTCCTCTTCTGTGCTTTTCTAGGTCACGCTGACATGTGGAACGGAGACAGCCCTGCGATTGGTGAAGGAGCCCAGCAAATGCCAGTACATCATGGACTTTGAGACTCCTGTGGCCTGTCAGCCAGTGCTAAAGCAGAGGGGCGTTCACAGCGAACTGTGACCTCCTCTTCCCTTAGCCGCCTTAGCCTGGAATAACTTGGAACCGCGGCCTTTGTCGCCTTGCCCCTAGTGACAGGCTGAGGTCCTGAGGGTCCCCTCTGACATCTGTGTTGTCAGAACGTATATACTTCTAAGCAAGTTTGACTAAGGTCAGAAAGTATTTTTCTGTAATGATGTTCCATGAACACTTTCCGTAGTTTGCATAGACTGTTACTTAATTTCCATTCTGTTTCCATATAGCATTTATTGACCAATTATCAGAATGGAAAAATCAGTACACTTGCTTAGTCTTCAGTATTTCAGCAATATTACAGTGTGAAAAATAATAAAATGATCCTAGATAGAGTATTAGATAAGAGAATTTGACAATACTGTTGCAATATATTCCAAACTGGATGCTTTAAATGACAAGTTTATCGTTCTACTTGTATGTGGTGTCCACTTTATAAAACCTCATTTAAAATCAGAAGAATATATCTTGAAATATATATGTATAGAATAGTTATATTTAGAAAAAACACCAAAGACCTAAAAAATAAACGTTCAAAGTTCCTTTATTTCTTTTTTTCCGGACTGAAATTTTAAACATTTCCTGTCAGTTTTAAAAGGTCAGTAACAAACTTTACTTTGGGTGTATTGTGCAGATCATACCTTATAAGATTGGATAGCATGCCTGCAGTTTATTTTGGCTCCAAATAGATTTGTGGAAATCTTTTTTTAAGCCTCTTCTAGGGCTTCTTGATTTTTTTGGATTTTTTGTTGTTGTTGTTTTTGGAGCCAGTAACTTCTAAAGGAAACATTTCTGCTTAAACTTGGACCTCTGTAGGTCCAGTTGGCTTTGGCCTCAGTCGTCACCAATCATACAAAGTATTCAAACCCCTACATTTTTACATCAAATACTGATAAAATCCCTTTTTTGATAAAAAAAAGAAAAAGTATTTTTCCAACTTCATTAGGTCAATGATACTGCTTAGATTCCACACAAGTATTTATATCAGATCTATTAGATTATGAAAATTGTATATTTTGTCTGACATTAATTAAATGTACTCCTTTATGCAACTTTATGCTAACATTGTTACTTTGCCTAAAATTGACATTTCTGTCTTAAAAGAGCAACTGTACTCATGTAAAAGTTGCATATTTGCATTTCTATTTAGAACAAATGCCCCAGAGGCTAATTCCTACCGGGGAAATTATTCAAAGATGCAGCTTTTTGTTGAACAGAGAAACTACTGATGGGTTTCATCCTTTAGTATTTTCCATTCCATTTATCCTTTATTCTGTAGGTCACATATTTGTGCTAACTGTATTAAAGAAAATGATTGGATTGCACATAATTGCTGTATAAAGATTTCTCTGGTTATCAAATTTGTCTTTTTTTGCATTTTTTCAAAAGGAATAACTTTGAATATTGGTTTAATGTGAGACTTTTGGTATTTTGTTTGAAAACGTATATTTATATCTGCAATTGTTATTTAAGGATGCATTTCAATGGATGAAAATTATTCAGTCGGATTGTTTGATTATGACTAAAGAGCAAGCTTTGTTGTTCTGATTGGTGCAGCTCACTGGGTTTACAGGGTGTGTATAACAACAAGTGTGTAACAATTTTGATCTAATTAGAGTTTGGGGACAAACAAGTCAACTGAATAAAACTTTACAGATGGGATAGCAGTTGGTATACTAACAGAAATCTGTGCAGATTGGTTATGAATATTAGCACGATAAAGCATGATTGCTAAATGTTCAGCTAGTGCGTAGCAACAACTAGTGACCTGTTGGTACCTGTAACTACAGTTAGTTGTTGGTCTAGATGCCTGTCTGGCTGTGTGGTGGGGCAGCATAGCGGTGCTTCAAACACCTTTAAAAAGTGTATCTTCACTGCTCGTTAGCAGGTGCTTTAGTTCCACTGGACTGGTTCTAATCTGTTCTTACTCCTCAAAGCTCTGACCCAGAGAGTAAACTCAGAATAAACTCTCTCCCTCCATTCGAAATTCCATTATGAAATGAATCTAATATTACAAAATACATCTTCAAATAGTTTTTTATAAATAAATAAATGCATATATCTTGCAGTAAATAAAGCTTAGATAAATAACTGAATAAAAACAGAAGTAAATGAATACATTACAATATAAGCTAAACATTTACTTTTAATATACATCTTGGTTTTATTTATTGAGAACCTTTATTTTTTTATAGAATATTTAATTACATTTTAATTTTACTTTTTAACACAAGTGCAAATTAGTTCACAAGTAAAGATCCATTATGACATTATTAAATCTGGCAATGAAGAACTTGACCACGGAGACCTAACCTCAATTTAATAACTCAGCTTTGTCAGAATTTTAAGGAGAGACTCAAAGACTGAACAACTTGCCCAACACAGTAGCTGATATCACAATTATATTCTATAAAAATGTCCAAAATTCATATAACTTCTCCTAAACCTTATAGGGGGCTTATTTCTTTTTTGTACAGGAGAAAAGGCTGATATAATGGCATTAGGGGGCGTGTTATGTTGCCTCTAATGGTCTGATGCTGCACTCATACCAAACATGTTTTTAGGGTCAGAGGCGTCCAGATGATGATATGCAAAGTCTATGATGGACACACGTCAAGGGGGGCTTGAGGTCCTAAAGAGCTCCCCGACCCCCTGGTGTGGCGCGTCTTAAAGCGTTTCAAGCATAGGCACGGGATGTTGGGAGCACATTGCTTGCAGTTCGACGCTGTGTGACGCTAAACAGAAAAACTGATCTGAGAGCTGGATGGGAGGCAGTCCGTGCTTCCAAGCATTGACCTTTTCTCCTACAGCAGTGTCAGAATAAAGCCACTCAAAAAAAGAATGAAATATATGTACAAACACATATAAATATTATATGTTACATAACATAAGGTTTACATAAAAAGCCAGAAGAATGTCTTATATAATGTAGAATAAGAGAGCTCTGATCTCTCCACTAAGACAATTTCTTACAGAACTGCGATAAAACAGTTTATTATGTATACCTACATTTATTTAAAATGTTAAAACTTGCCTGAGAAAAAGTTTAAATACTGTATTCTGGTACTTGTAGTTTTTACCACATAACTAAAAAAGCTTTTACTTCCAGCAGGAAACTCCCAAGAGTCACTAGGGATTTTCTGGGCTAATGCTGCATTGGGGGCCACTGGCCTGAAGTGTAGCTTCCTGCTTAAAAACAAATTTAAATTGCTTTATGTCATCACAGAAAAGTAAACAAAGCCGCTCTCTCCATTGCATCTGCAATTGTTCACGAGGCTGGCAGCGACTGTCATATAGGTCTGTACACACTTTGCCTTATGTGCGTTAAGTGCTTTTGAAGCTCTCAATGCGTGTCTGAACTTAACGTGCAACGCTAACCTAGCAAGCCGGATCGATTAATGTGTAGCACTCAGGTTCAGTCCTGCATATTATCAATCTGGGGCTGCACTGAAGGAATCTGTTCAGAGAAAGGAGCGACATTTAGCAGTGTCACCTTAGAGGGCAAAGCAATAAGCCTTAGTGCAATAATTTGTTTTTATCCGGCACAATGTTTTATAGGCAATTTTTATTTCACAGTAGGAAACAAAATGGCAGTAGATACCATGAGAAACCACAACAACTAACACATTTACGCTCTTTCTCTTCCTCTTTCCAAGATGAAATCATGGATGCTAACAAAGCAGACGTGACAGCAGCAGCTCCTTTTCATCACACCTATAAGTTCCACCTTAAATGATTAAACTGCAACATGATTGGCCGACTTGTTTTAGGCAGTCTGGAATGGTTGAATCAGGAGTAGATAAGATGAATTCTAGTGTATTTTTTATCCTAAATTACTTTGAGATTTTTGACTATACAGGCAAGGTTTAAGCAATACAAAAAAGAGGATAAATGACAAAAAGCAAACTAAAACAGAACTTTATTAGTGATCTTCTACAGCGGTGAGCCATGGAGTGTTTTATTTTAAGCAAAGCAAGCAAATAATTTTGTTCATCACTCTGCAATGTTGTGTATAATAATAGCAGGCACAACCTATTATTTTTGTTCCAATCAAGTAGTAACGTATTTTCAAAATGCATTTACTACTCAAATTTTCCTGATGCTACAATAGGATCTTCAAAGGTATCAGGCATCTGATCAGCATCCCCTTCTTGATGCCTCGCTTGGAAGGAGACTGAGGGACAGAACCGATCTTCGAAAGCTTTGAGAAAATCCCAGCGACGGAAAGTTTTGCAAGGAAGAGGGATTTCTGGGTGTCCTACTTGAACTGGTCACAACAGCGACACCGTCATACTGCGGACAACGAAAGATAAAAAACATCAATAGATATTTTCACTAGGTGCACCAGGTGCCTTATCTGGCATCTAAACCTTGTTTTTCCTAAATGATTTTTTTAACATTTTGTGTTTCAATTTTGGAGAGGTTATTCACTTCTGTACTACCTTCTCTATTTTTTGAATGACAATCGTTTCATGTTCCTGTGCTTCATCTCATCATCATCATCATCATGGTTTATGCTTGAGGCGTCTGCAAGGTCTGCCCAAATTAAGTCATCTTGGGCTTCCATGCCTCTCTGTAGACTCCACGCAGAAGTTCTGCACCGAAGAAAATTTCAAAATTCGAGCTCAGCAGAGGGGCTGCTTGGTAATGAAGTGGGTACAACTGTTGCCTTGCAGCAATAAAGCTCCTGGTTCGATTCCCAGTCCAGGATCTTTCTGCATTGAATTTGCATGTTCTCCCTGTGCATGCGTGGGTTCTCTCCAGGTACTTCAGCTTCCTCCCACAGTCCAAAAACATGACTGGGAGGTTAAATGGTTTCTCCAAAATGCCCTTAGGTATGAGTGTGTGTATGCATGATTATGTGTCTCTGTTTTGCCCTGCGACAAACTGGCGACCTGTCCAGGATGTATCCCGCCAAAGACTGCTGGAGGTAGGCACAAGCCCCAACCCTGACAAGGACTAAGCGGGAGAAACTGGAAGGTCTGGGGGACAGGACCGTTTGGAAAACATGGTTAGCAAGCAGCAGCCCCCTGCTCCAGGAAAATAAATTACTGGTGCTCTTGGATGCCATGAAGAGGCTTTTATAAAGTTGTGAATGGCTGTGTAAATGGTGTTGTCGGCCAGAACAGGGTGAAAGCCTCAATAGGCGGGTCATTTCGGTGGTACAGTATGTCCGTGCGCCAAGCATAATTAGCCCGTAAGGCACTAAGGTCTGCCCTAAATAACTGAGACGAACACTGATTTTGATTTTAAAATATTCTAAATACAACAAGGATACGATTAAGATTTAAGTTTGTAAAAAGGGTGACTTTTGAAAAAGTCTTGAGTTATTTAAATCTGAACCTTCTTTTGTACTCTACTGGTCCATTGTCCTCGGTATGCTGTCATTTATTAGACACTTTCATGATTATGTACACCTACAAAGTCATTTAAAAGACTACAAAATAGACATTTGTGCTTGTTTGAAAATTAAATAAAAGGGGATTGTTTTAAACTTGTACACAGTACTGTACACCAAAGCTACATTAATGTACAAGCTCCTAAGTCTTCTGCATTATTTACAGACCTTCAGTTCTTATTCTATGCTGAATTTAACAACTATTGATTTTCCAACATCCTCGCAGGCCAAGCAGTCTGCCTCTTCCCCTGCCTGCTGTCTGTGATGTTGTTATGTAACGGATTGTAGGGGTTTTTGCAGCAGAGCCCTCTGCTCATTAAGGGGGAGCTAAATCAGCTGTCAGGTTTCCAATAGTCTGCCTGATATATTCCTGGCCTGCTGGGGCAGCTGGGTGGCTGTTTGCCTGCTAGCAATGCAATAGCCCCAGGCCATGCAGCTCAGGAACTGCTGCTTTTTATTTATCTGGCCTCAGCTCTCATCCACATGCTCCATTTGATGCCAAGCCTAACCATTTGCTTTCACCTTCGATTTTCCAGATAAATAATGCCCCGTTTTGTTCAGGGAGCCAGTCAAATTATATTAAACACATTGCTGCGAAAGCTCTATAAAAAATCATATTGAGTTATGTAAAATTCTTTGATTTGGTGAAACGATCTGAGTTCAGATAGAAAATAAAACAAGGTAAAAAAAAAAAATGTGTGGAAGTCCAGTCAGTTTTAAACAAATGGAAGTATTATGGCAATGGTTATGCACTTTTCAAACCCCATCCACCAAATAAAGGTTAAACAACTTTTTTCTTTCATTTCTACTATGGAGCATTTTAACTAGAGTGCTAAAGGAAATGTTTATGTCAGCTTAAAAAAAAGAAGACAATTTGCATTTAGCCTTTTCCTCTCCAATACTCTTAAGTCAGATACATGGGAACTTATATACGATAAACAATATACGTAGTAAATT